CTTGATCTTTTGGCATATAAGAGGTCTTTGTAAGATTAAAACATCCTGCAGGTTTCATAGCTTAAAATGTCCTCCTCGTTATAAACAAAGCATTTATTTAATCGAGCTCCAAAAACGACTCGTTTGGATCTGAGGGGCAAGATGACGTCACCCGGGCTCAAACATTTGCATAAACACGCCTCCAGAGCTAGACATCGGCGAATAGTCTTCTTCTCAGCATAGACCCCGCCCACTGGGGGTTCAGTCACTATCGGCCGACACGTGATCACGCTGAATGCGTCAAAATCAGATAGAAATCACAATCACTGCGCTATCTGGTCTACACTGGATATACAGATATGAGTCTGTCTTCAGGACAAATGCAGTGAAAGATCGTTCGCTTTGTCGCGTTTGGTTTAAACAGCTCGTTCACGTCTTTGTACAGCTATCAGAAGGAAACTAGTGGATCGTTTATTTTAATGGCGTCTCGGATCGTGTCGGAGGATTTTGTTTTGTAATCGAGGCACAGTGTCATGGAGACTCACAAAGAAACATCTGTTGAGAGATGAAGCGGAACTAGATCTGATTCTGACTGCAGCTGCATCACAAACCGTAAGCAAAGGATTTCATAATGCTTCGTCTGGAAATGACCCTTTTATTTTGATCATGTTGTCAAAACACGCAATAATAGTGAGGGCCGTTGATACGGTTTCCTATGCAGTGATGTTAGCCAATCATAACAGCGGCTGATTACTGACGAGCCTTAAAGGACACGCCTCTAAAAACAGCTGGTTTCAGAGAGAGGGCCAGAATGAGGGTTGAAAATGAATGAGGGTTGAAAATTATTTTTCCACATATTTATTTGGTTTTTTATGCAAAAAACTTTATTAACATTGTAAGTAAACCTTAAGGAACATTAAAATAATTTTAAAAAATCAATGTCATGACCCCTTTAAAGAGTTTGTTCTCTAACAAACACCAAACTTTACAGTTTTATTCCTCTCTATGTTCTGAAGGTTTGCTCACATTTCGTTCACACTGATCTATGCAACACTTTACTGATAAAAACATGATAAAAACGTGTTTGTTTTCTGTCTGTTGACAGTATTTTCTGATTTATGATGGAGTGATTAAAAAGAGAAATCCAAAATGCACTCTGGAAAAACCTTTAATACATGTCAACAAAACAAAAACTATGAACCTGGCTTTATCTTATATATAGACTTCTGTTCTCAAATATGAGCATATGTAATCAGATAATGCCATATTTGCATATTCAAACTAAATTTCTGAAAACTGTAACTAAACAGTTGTCTTAATGTACTGTGATTTATTAATTAAAGTTTTACTCTGTATAGTGTCCTGCCTTAAAGAGAAGTCAGAATGATCAACTTTCAGGATGCATCTTCATCATCATCATCACAAAAACTGATTTCACGGATCTTCAAGTGTTTGGTGTTAAACTCAGCAGCTGGAGCTCTTCATGAAATATTCTCTCTGTGTGTGAATGTATGTTTCAGAAGCTCTTATAATATTCAGTCAGGGCTACATTAGCATGCATCGCTTCAACTGTGACATGAACATTATACAGGAGGCACACAACTCTCACACATGACAAAGCCCCTTAATTCTCCAACAAATAACAGAGTGACAAAAAATAATAAAAGAAATAAAACGTTTGTTATAAAACACCTTTCAGTCCATGCACAGCTGCAGAAACAGCATCGGGGTTTAAAGAGATGATCAGTGACTGTACCTCGCGGTAATGTCGACACTGGAGCGCAAAGGGTTAAATGTGACATTTTTGTCCCATTTTGGTGCTACAGATGAATTCTGACCGATTATGATCGAAGCTCGTCGAATAAAACACAAGAGACTGACGTTCACCTCGATGTTCAGAAAACGTGTCAAAGCTTTTTGACCCTCTAACTCTAGCACTCTCTATTCTCTATCTATTCTTTAAAAAAAACACTTGCCCCTTTTAGACTTGCACTCTATTCATTTACTAACTGCTTGTTTTCTTAAAAAAAATAAAAACTAACACTTGCTTCTCTATTATTTTTGTATTCTATCTATTTGTTTTCTTTTTATTTATTATACAATTAACAAAAACAAAAAAAGGCCTCTAACACTAGCTTGCTCTATTCTTTTTCTAATCTGTTTTCTTTTTATTATATGTGCTAAGTGTACTGCATTAAGCTAACTGAGACTTGTTATAGCACTTGTATATCATTGCTCTTTGTTGATTTTGACTGCTTCTATTGTCCTCATTTGTAAGTCGCTTTGGATAAAAGCATCTGCTAAATGACTAAATGTAAATCACAAATGTAAAAGTAAAAACTGTGAAAAGCTTGAGGAGAAACGACTGATATTACAGAATCATACGGACAGAGCAGAAGGAAAAAACACTTTATTTCCAAATGACGTTCACTGTCCAATTACATGGAATTTTCTAAAACATTCAACATCACTGATGCAAACTACAAGAAACAATAGGTAAAAACATCCAGATAAATGAAGCTCACATAACAGAAAGCATTGTGGGATAAGGTAAGAAACGTCAGCGGTCGCCTGTCCTCCGCCTTCGGCTACAGAACCTTGTATCGGCTCTTGCTGGTGGGCTGGTAGGAGTTTTGCTGAAAGCAGAGAGAAAGATGATTCAGAATGAGACTGAGCTAGTTCAGAAAGGATCAGTGAGGATGAACTCACCAGACGGATCAGCTCTTCTTTGATCAGCCGTGTGATTTCTGCTTTGGCCTTCTGCACGGCCAGTTCATTCGCACCTGACAACAACACAGACTGCTTTAGTGACACGAGAAGACCAGCGGTGCTCTGGGAACCGGCGAGCACACTTACTCTCGATGGCCAGGTAGATCTTGCGCTCTCCCTCTTTGGGCTCTTTGCCCGGTGGGAAATATGTTCCTCGGATAGTGATGGCCGCCTCTGAATACTCGCCGATGCGCTGAAGAGCCTCCTTAGACGTCACCTTCCACCTCGCCGTCTGCAAAACAAACACCGTCAGCTGTCAGAAAACACACACACACACACACAAACCCACACACAGACACACACACTTGCACTCGCACACACAGGCACACACACTTGCACTCTCACACACACACACTCTCTCACACACACACACACACGCTGAGAATACATCAGTGACAGGCTTTCACGAAGTTAAAGTGACAAAAGGAACAGGAATGATGGTAAGAGTGATGAGTGTAAGCAGCGTCTGCAAACTGTCTGAGAATATGCTTCATGTCTACATACTTATGCAAACCATTTTATTTAATGCCATGTCAGCATCTTAGGCTATTTTAATGGCAAAAACGAAAAAATAAATAAATACAAGTATAACAAATACAATTAAAACTAGCTAACAATGAACAATACATCTGTTGACAGCATTTATTAGCCTTTGCTAGCATTAGTAGTTCATGTCAGCTCAGGCTCATTAACCCTCATCATAACGCATTTAGTCTGTGTCCAAGAAGAGATCTATAAAAAAATCACGTGCATATTTTTTAGTAAGGGAATGAAACTCAAAACACAAGACCCTCAAAATAGACATGATTTATTTTTTTCTGATTCTTTAGAATTATATTAAGATATATAACGATTTAAATAATGTGACATGTTTCGTGTACGGGTTGTTTTGACCCGGGTAAATACGGAGACACATTAGATGTTAAAAATACTTTATGTAAAATTGTCTATGAAGTTATATTAGTGTCAAAAAACATTGTAAAATATATTTTATCTCACAATTTTAGGACTGAAGTTGGTCAATAAACAATGCGTCACCTACTGATGAACCATTGCTGCATGAAAAAAATAATCTATTTCCATATGTTCAAACAATAATAAAAAAAAAAATTATATATATATGTGTGTGTGTATATAATCTCTGCATCCTAGTATTTTTGGTGTGGTTCATGTGAAATTTGTAATAATTTCGCTTTTTTTAAACTGATAAAAAGGGGTAAATGCAGCAATAACATGATAATAACATGGTAACGTTCAAAAGGTTGAAATGTTTTGATATTCAGTATCAATAGTTGCTGATCAGATACAGTATGGTTTTAGGGTTCATTTACACAACAACGATGTACTAAAAACAGA